TCCAATATTTTCTTTAATGGATTTTTTCTCCTTCCCCTTTTTTATTTGGATTAAGAGTATTTGATGTTTTCTCTTAAAATTTAAAATTAAAATTGTAAACATTTATTTAGTATCTATACCCTTAAATGTTTTACAATGTTGCAAGTTGAGGTAATGCTAATAGAAATTTGCATATTTTTTGGTAGACATGGCAAACATTTTACTAACAGAGATTTGTTTTCTTTATTTTGAGATATTATTTTAAAATATGGTCTATAAATTGGCCATGGAAGAATGTCGTCATTTTCGTCATCAATATTAATCTTAAAAATTAATATAATAATTAATATAATAGAATAAAATAAAATACCAATTCCATTGCAATTAAAAATGGCAAATTCCTTGAGATGGATTGTAATATCAGAATTTGCTTGTTATTGATAACTCGGACATAATATTTAATTAATATTTATATATTCTTTTTTATATATTAGTTTTAATATTATAAATTAATGTATCTTAAAAAGTATCTAAAAACAGATACAGATACCTCTAAAATAATATCTATTAATCAAAAATATATCTACATACATATACAGATACCACATTTTTATATCTAGATACATTAACAACTCTGTTAGAAAGTAAAGGAGATTGCTAATATGTTTGGGATTATTTTTAAATCTAGTGTAGTTTCTAGATAATCCAATTCCTCAAATATTGATGCATTTACGATTGAGGATTTTTATCAAATAACCATTTTTATCCCCCCCCCCCTTATTGATACATTTTTATTTCAATTAAAGAAATAATTTACTAGTCATTTTTATTTTAAAAAGCGAGACTCTTGATTACACTTGAAACACGAGAGGATATTAAGAAAATCTCAGATTTACGCTGTTGATTTAGTACGCTCATATGATAAGTTACTTTGTGATGTCGAAATTTGGTATAAAGATATCCACAGAATAGAGTATTTTTTGAAACCAAAAAATGCTCAGCAGGCCCTTTCCATGTGTAATTGCACTTTTGATTCCCTGCTTAATATCAAAACATTAATTATGCTTCATTACCAATTAGTACCTGCACTAATGAAACGTATTTTTCAACAACAATGTTAAAAACCTATTTAAGGAATACCACCGGAGAAAAACTTTTAAATAAATGTTTATAAGGAGATTACTCTAGATAAAAATTTGATTCTTGATGAATTAGGAAAATCTCATAAAAAAGTAGACCTCTCTCTATAAATTCAAATCAAAAAATTGTAATATGATTTAGTTTTAATATATAATATTTATAATCAAATTTTTTAGTAAAATGAATTCTTAGTAACATTTATATAATATTTGTATTAACTCTTAAAATTATGGCTATGCCCATATTAAATATCGGATCGGATCGGTACTGATAATTAGCTTTTTCCAAAACCCGATCCTATCCCATCCTTTTACTAAAAATGCAATTCTTAAAACTTTTGAGTAATGAAACTTTGAATTATTATTACATCATATTTATTTTTTTTTTAATAAAAATTTTTTTTAAAAAATATTTAAAAAAAATAAATAAAAATAAATATTTAAAAAAATAATAAATTTTTCCGAGTTTCAGTGAGTTTATATTTTACATTTATAATATTTTCTAAATAATTTTTTTTTTAAACAATGCAATTGTTATTTATTTTTTTAAATAGATTTTAAAAGTTTTTTTATAAAAATAGAAAGGAACATCCAAAGTTTTATTTATTTTTAATTTTTTTAAAAAATATACCAATTTTATTATTTATACTTTAACTAAAAGAATTATTTTAAAAATGGTTTCTAAATTATGGAAATATTTTGATAAAGATAAAGAGAATTTTGCAAAATGCGTTATCTGCGCAATTCTAATTTCACGGGGAGGAATAATGAAAAATTCATTTAATACAAACAAATATTCGGAAACATTTAAAGCGATTCCATCAAACGGAATTCGAAGAGCTAATACATAAAGAACGAGAAATATTAGAAGAAACAAATCAAATTTTTTTTAAAAAAGGGCCCTGAAAGTCAGCCAACAATATCAGTCATTCTTAATAAAACTAATATTTGGAAATATTCTGATCCTTTGCCTGAAAATCTAGAGGCTCTTATATTAATTTAAAAAAATCTCATATATTATAATTTTAGATGTTAAATATTACAATTTTATAAACCAACATAAAAAGGGTATATTATATCAATTTTTTCTATTATAATATAATTTTTTTTAAATTATATAGAAATAAAAAAATTAAATTAAATGCATAATTCTTTTGCATAAAAAAGATTGATTTTTTAATTACATTTGGTTCAAAGAGGGGTGGTGAAAAATCAATATAAATATCGGATCTGTTTTGAAACAATATCGGAAAATACCTGATCGGATTGGTGAAAATATGTGGATCGGCACAGCCCTTAAAATTTTTATTAATATTATTTTTAAACAAAGTACTGTGTATTATTTATATTTTGATAATATCGTCATATTTTTTTAAATACCATTATTTGCATAAGAATTGTTTATATTATTTTATGTAAGAGTTTTTAATACAATATAGTTTTTAATATTATAATTTGTATATAAAATATCTACATTTTTATTTTAAATAATAAAAATAAATACATGATTAAATAAAGGAATATTATTTATATAATAAATAAAATCTATAATGAAATACTTTCTAAAATCATGTTATATGCAAATATTTAAAATAATTTTATAAAATTTCTCCCCCCCCCCCTCCCTCACCCATGCGAAAATCCTGGTATTTACTTTAGAAAAAGTTAATTAATAATAAATTTTTTTAATTTTTAAAAAGATATAAATTTATATATATTCTACCCAAATTTGCAATTTAATAATTTATATATATCGATGCATAATATTTACCTTTAGAAATTTCTATTTTTTCTTAAAAATTAAAAAAAAATATATATTCTAAATATATAATATTATATATCAATATATGCATCATTAAACTGCAAATTTAATGGTTATTCAGTATATACAAAAAAATATCCTTGTTTTTAAAAAATTAATTATTAATTAACTTTTAAATTTTTTTATATAAATATATTATATATCGATATATACATTATTAAACAGCAAATTTAATGGTGATTTTCTAACAAGAACTATATTTATACTACATTTACCATATTTTATATTACTAGAGCTGTGCCTATATTAAATATAGGATCAGCACCAATATTTAGTGCTTTAAGAAAATATCGGTTCGGACCTATATTTTTTAAGAAACCAATCCGATCCGATATTTGTTATTGTTCTTGGTTATTATGATTGTATATACAAGAAAATGATTTTAAGATGTCTAACTATTCCATTCAGCCAATGTTGTTAAATGGCTCAATTCGATTTAACCAATTTTTAAATTGGTTTAGATCAAGATTTTGGCCAAAAGTAAATTCCTCAAACTTATTAATTTTTGCCAAAAATAAATTACTCAAGCTTATTTTTTTTTTGTTCACAGATTAGAAAAAGGTTTGGACTTCTTGGTGAAATATCGAGGCTTAGGTAATAATATTTTGGCGAAAATCTTGATTTAGCCCTTTTTAAAAATCTGCTAAATGGAATTGTTTTTAACAACCATTCACTCATAAACATTGTAAATATTTTAAATTAGATTAAGAATAAAAAAGATACATTTAATTATTCGTGAAATTTTTGGTTTTTTAAAAAAAAAAATATTGATATTTTTATGACATTTATACAAGATAGTAGGTAAATAAATATCAAAATAAATATCAGATAGGAATTGGATCTGGTTTTTAGTAATATCGGAACGATGAAAAATTTGTAGAATGGCCCACCCCTAGCATTTACTATTTATCCTTGAACCAATGCCATAAAAAATTAATATTCTATTCAAAAAATATCAAGTAACTTTCACGAATGATTAAGTGTATTTTGTATTTTTATTCCCCAAAAGTTAATAGCAATGTTTATGGTTAAATTTGTGTTGTTAAACGCCTCGGCTTAACTTCTAAAACGGCGAAATCAAGATTTTCTCTAAAATATTATAATCCATGCTTCGATATTTCGCCAATTGATATCCCAACTTTTTTACCATTTTTGGGCAAAATTTCTAAGCTTAGGTAATTTTTTGGTTAAGATCTTAATTTTCTTAAATCGGCTAAACGAGCCTTCAACAACACTAGCTGAATTTGACCCGTTAGATATTTCAAAATCCTTATTTGATTTTTTTTAAGCATTACAAACAAATTAAATTTTAATCCCTTTTTATTAATTTATTATTATGAAATTAATTGAAAGTAATTATATAATTATATAATTGTAAATATAAAATCATAAAATAAGTAAAAACAATAAAATATGGTATCTATCTTTTTTTAAAATATCTGCCCGATCCGATATTTTTTAATAACGCGAAATATCGGACACGATCCTATATTTAATATCAGACAGCCCTAATAAATACATGATAAACCGGAACATCATATATATGTAGCATAAAATTCTTCTGTTGGAAAGGAACATCGTAGATTGGTTATTATATACGAATATTACGTCAATTATAACAAAACGTCATCTATAGTATAAAAAATTTTTCCATATTTTATTAGTTATTATTGATTTTCTCTATGAAGTCGTACTCCACTCTAATTTTTTTTACTCATATAGAATGGTAATAGAATGTTCATCTATAATTTTATAAAAATCATAGGGAACCATTTTTCTTTATGAAGATTTTAAGTAAAATTTTTTAAATATATTTTCTAAGAATAAAAAGTATGGGCTTTATTTTAATAATAAATTTATTATATAATTGCTTAATTTTTAAGTAACCATTAATTTAATGAATACAAACACCCGTAAAAGGGTAATTTTCATGATTTGATCTTAACTATTTTCAAAAATATAGCAAAAATTTCTCCAAATATAGATTACATTAACCATATGGAATGGTTGATTTTAATTAAATATTTATTCCTTAATTGATTCATATTTTTTACATATAGATATTGGACAAATCATGATAATTCGTTTTTATATATGTTGATGGAATTTTTGAGCGGTGGAGAATTATTTACCTATTTGCGATCTAAGGGACATTTTGACAAATATACAGCTATTTTTTATGCTTCAGAAATAATATTAGCTTTAGAATTTTTACACTCACATAATGCTGTGTATAGAGATCTTAAACCTGAAAATTTATTACTTGACAAAGATGGACATCTTAAACTTACAGATTTTGGGTTTGCTAAAAAACTTGACGATAGGTTAGATTAATTTATGATTAAAATAATTCACGATATTTTGGGGCGCCCCATTTCTGTGCGCCATTTGCCCATTTTATCCAAAATATTAAAAAATCTTAAAAAAATAAATTCCTTCATTTTAATTTTTAGATTGATAAAAATTAGTCAACATTTTTTTTTACTTAATTTCTTCAAAACTAGGTGTGGGTTAACGGCTAAGGTGGGCACAGTCAGCGATAATTATAGCGTGAATATCAGAAAAAATTATTTTTAATATTTATATCATGTTCGGATATATGTACCCTGCCTAAAAATAATATTTTTACAAAACAATGGCCTGGCCCATTTTTAAATTATATCATTTAATTACTTGGATGTTGTATAATGCAGTTTTTAATATAATTTACTTATATTTTAAATTTTCTTTCTAAGCAATTTCCAAAATACAACCGAAATTTTCAAAATTCCTGGCCATAAAATAATTATTTCAAATTCGGGCAGGCTTAAGATTTAACTCATGATTTTATAAATGTTTATATAACTGTAATGAAAGATTATTCGTTTTTATCATCATCATTTTTTCCCTTGATATTATCCATGGTCGTCAAGACTTTATATGAGTTTTTGCTTCTTTATATGACATGTATTTTTACGATTGTTGGAGGATAAAGATTTAGTAGCTATGTAACCTGAATAGAGGCGTTTGTCGGCCGCACTTTGGATGTCCATGAGTAGAATACATAGAGTTATAGGGTGATTGTTTCTTATCTTACAACTAATGGTGATATTATTATTTTAATATGCAGTCGGCTTTTCTAAGAGGACATGTACTGGAATCCGGTTCGAGGGTTCATAGATCATTGATTTGTAATTTTGTCTTTTTTTGTTTTTTTAAATATTTAATGTTTTTTTTATTATACCTCAAAATCTAAAAAATATAGAAAACGTTTTCTATCAAAAAAATACATATAAAATATAAAAAATAGAAAATGTAAGAAAATTAATATTGTTGATAAAAACTTCCAGTTTCTGAGTAAGATTGTAATTAGATAATTGAGTATATTTAATTATAAATAAATATATATATTTAGGGGAAATCGGAGTAAAGCCATTGACGGGGTATCAACTTTAACACGAATAACTTTTTAACCTTTGAGAATTTTAAATTTGTAGTAAAGATGTATCTTTTAAGCTAATTCCTTACCTATGTTCATTTTTTGAAAAACTTTCCCGGCTTGATTTATTTTCCCAATAAACGTTTTTATAAAAATCACCGTTTAGTTTTTTTTGCTTTTAAAATATAAAGCTCAGAATTTAAAAATTTATATACATGTTCCGAGCCATAGCTATAACATAAAATTTATCCGAAGTTTATAGCAACTAGAAGTCACACAATAACGATCTACACTATCACCCCTGATAATGGTTGACGACGTCTAGGATTTTGGCTGCCAAAATGCGTCCCAGCTCCAGGTGCTGGTATGAGTGCCTCCTGAAGACCTTTAGGCATTTTTCTAATCGGCGCCTCGTGTTGGTGTCTGCCGTGATTGTCTTGGTCTCTAAGTAAAGTTGCTATGGGTGAAACGGTTATAATGTTCCGTCTTATTTAAGTTGTAAAAGATTATTTTTAAATATTTATCTTTTACATCATATAAAAAGATACTTTTATGCAAAAAATAACAATAATAAATATTTTGTAATGTGATAAAATCTTATGAATAGTCGCAAAGGGGAATAATTGTTGAAATGTACGATGTGCCTAAAATACGCACATTCAAAATGTACTCTTTTTGATATAATTTTTTTGCATTCTGGTATTATATTGATTGGTTTATGTTAAAAGTAATGAATAGATGTCAAAATGCAATATTTTGTTTAATTAAACAATATAGTTATGTTTAATTTTATTTCAACCACTTTGCCCTGATACTTAGCCACTTTACTCTTGTGTATGATGGGGTAAAATCGCATATTTCAATTAATGCTCCTAAAGTATTAAGTAGAGTAGAGAGCTATTTTTTTTTATTTTATAGATATGGATTTGTTTTGTTAATGCTTCAGAATAATATGGTATTAGAATCTTCATTAAATTTACTAGCTTATGATATATTTCGATATAGAATATTTATTGAAAAATTTTATTTTTAAAATTAATTAAAATAATTTTGTAAATTTTTTTAAAAATTTATAAGTTTATATATTCGGAATCACCATCATATTTGCAGTTTAATGATGAATATATCAATATATAATACTTATCTTAAAAAATATTTTTGATTAATAAAAAATTATTTTGTAAAATTTATAGGAAAATTTAGAAATTTACAGGGTTATATTTGGAACGATCAAATACGATTCAGTCATTTAACCGATATTTGATTTGTCGTATATGGTCAAATTCAAATAAGTTTTTTAAGATTACATTAACTATATTTGTATATAATAGTAAAATGAAATATATAAGATTAATTTTATAATTTTTAAAATTCATTGCCATTCAATAACAATGTTTTGCTCTCCCCGAGAGAGTCTTATTCATATTCAATATTTTCATTTTCTTTAATATTTTTAAATCAATTTTTCTGTAGTCGAGATCTTCAATCGATTTCTGTTTTAATAAGAGTATTAACGCAAATCGGCCAATTTCATTCTGAAGAAGAGGTATAACTAGGAATTGTTAGTAAAATGCCACTATTATTAATGGGTATTGTTAGAAAAGCCTACACTGATTTATGCCGGAATCTGATTGTTTCCTATGGAAGTTACTGTTTATTAAACATTCCCCTTTTACTTCTGAAATATATCATATCACTTTAAAGATTTTGTGCATCACCACTTTATACCTAATTTTTGTATTATATCACATACTTCATTAAATTCACTATTAGTAAGATGCTCCATTTGATATTGAGGACCCAATAAATAGGTAGCATTGATGTATTTATATCTTTTTTCTTTTTTTAAACATATTTTTAATTTTTTTAAACATATTTTTAATTTTTTTAAACATATTTTTAATTTTTTTAAACATATTTTTAATTTTTTTCTGTCAAATACTCCTCCGGTCATTTTACTGAACTTGAAGTAAAAGAATATTTTTTTAAACTAAATATTTTATGGATCATTATTTAAATGTATATGATGGTGATTCCAAATATATAGAAATTTATATATTTTTTAAAAAATTTTACAAAGATATTTTAAATTAATTTTAAAAATTTTTTTAAGTAAATAAATATTATATATCGATGTTTTTCTAAATAAGTAAATGTATATATTTGTTTATTTATTAAAGATCTCAATTATCTAATTACTATCTTTGTTCATAAACTGGTAGTTATTATCAACAATTTTTTTTTTTTATATTTTCTATATTTTTTTACGGGCTTGACTAAACTGCAAATGCTTAGGTAAAAATTTTCATATATTATCTATTATTTGTAGTGAGATTCATTTTCTGATATAAATAACTTATAAAATTTAGATATATTCAATAATAAAGAATATACATTAATAGTTAAATTTTCTTTTATCTCATAATAAATCGTTTAAATCTATAATTATATAAAAATATTTTTAATTAAATTTAAAATTTCATAAATCCGCAAGATGGCGTATTATTATTTTATAAAAAAATTTAAAATTATTTTTTGTTATATTATATTCTAAAATCATATTGCATTATTACTTAAAAAGTAAGCTAAATTCCATATATTATCTATCAAAAATTGATTCGAAAAATTGCAAGAACAAATATAGGTTTTTATAAATTACATATGATCACATTTTAATGGTTAAAGTAAGATAAATTAATTTTTTAAAATAATTTTTGCATACTTTCTATTGATATTTTTCCTAAATAGCCAATTTGTTTTTATTGCCATTATTACAATAAATAAATAAGATATCACAGAAATTTATCGAACAATGCTTGTAGATTATTTACAGCTAGCATAAAAATGTATAAAGATTTACCATTTTTAGGGGAAAAATATAATTTAGATAAGGGATTCCGGATATTTTAAATGATGTTATATTTTATTTGTAAAATGATATATTGATTTTAAGTAAAGAATGTAGAGGGGGGAGGGGTAGGTGTATTTATACGAATTTTCTGTTGATTTTCTAAAGACTCTGATTTGATATTCTGAGTTATAAACTTGGGGTTTTAATGTTAATATCTAATGAGAATTGTTGGTGGGTTAAGCGTCCATGTATTTGTTTTGTGAAGTTAATCATTAAAGTAATATAATTTGGTTTAAATGACCATGAAAAGGGTCTTTAAGTGTTGCTGAGTTCAATAATACAAATAACATTGAACTGGAGGTATAAATTATATTATGAGAAAGTTGAAATACATTATAAATGCTTAATTATTATCTTTTCATTAAGGAATTTTTTTTATAAACTGTAATATCTTCATCAGCTTCAATTGAAATATTATGTCTTGGTAAAATGCTATGTATGCCAAAATGGCAAAGGTTTAATACTAAATTATTTTAAAATTTTGATTATCTTATAAAATAATAAATCTATTTTAAATACTCTTTTACAAATTAATATTTCAACTCCCATTAAAAATACTAATCTCCCTTCCCAATCTAGCTAAGAATGGGCTATCTATTACTAATATTAAAATGCCGGATATGTTAACTCATCATTAAATATTTTATTAATTATGTAAATATTCATTCTTACTATATGAATATGTTATGTTCTTCACAAATAAATAAAAAAAACTATATTTTATAAACTATTCTAATTTACTAGTATCTGTATCTAAGATTAATTTTTTCACATCTGTATAGATTCTTAAAGAACTACCCATGTAATATAAATATTTTCTTACGTGATTATCCATTTATGATTGAATTTATTAAGTGTATTAGATATGACTACTAGAAAAAAAATCTATTGTGATTGTAATCTTTTAATAAAATAAAATGAGGTAAAAAAAGGTAAATGAATGAATGCATGTGAAATATATATAAATATGATTCTAATTATATAAATATAAATTAATCATTTACTATAATACTTAGATAAATCAAGATAAATAATATTTAAATTATTTTATTTAAATAGAAACTTGGTATTATTGAGTATCATTTGACACAAAATAATATTTTATATCGTAATATTAACAATATACTTTACCGGCATGACTTTGTTTTAAATATTATATATAGCCCTCCACCATGCGTATTATGATAATTCAGCTTATTAAAATGAACCTTTAATGTTTTATGAGTAAATTCTATAACATTTTTAAATGATTATATTTTTTATAATAGTATTTTATAATAATACACGCCAACTTGCAGATTTAATATTATTGAAATTTAAAATTTAATTGTAAATATTAATATAAATTATATTAAAGGATTTAAACGATTTATTATGAGAATTCAACTATTAATGTATATTTCTAATAATTTAATTTTTTATAAGTTATTTATATCATAGAAAAATGAATCTCACTACAAATAATAGATAATATATGAAAATTTTTACCTAATCATTTGCAGTTTGGCATTTGCAGTTTACCTTAGCATTTGCAGTTTACCTTAGCATTTGCAGTTTACCTTAGCATTTGCAGTTTAGTCAAACCGTTTTTTTACGTTCATGATTTTGGCCTAATATTTTTATAAACAAATTTATTTTTTACAATTTCATGATCTTGGCCAAAACGTTCAATATTTATTTTAGATTTGGAGGCAACACAGTTTTTTGTTATATATATATATTAGAGACCTACAGAAGTATTCTTTTGCACGGCTCGGCCCGATTTTTTTTAAAATATATTATATTTAATTTTTATACTGAATGGCGATATAAAATTATTTGGTTTTAGCCCGGCCTAGATATTTTTTTAAAAAAAATTTTAGGTACAGCCCGGGTTACATATTAATTTTTTTTAATATATAACTTTTTACAAAAAAGAAAATTATTGAACCATGAATTAAGGGTGCACGGGCTGTCCGGAGCCTCACCCGAACCTCGGGCGAAATTTTTTCCTCGGACTCGATATTAAAATATAAATATCCTTATGCAAAGAATTAAGATTCAAACGATATGGTGCGAGGTTCGAGTCAGTAAAAATATATTTTATTAACTAACTTCTTTTTCTTTTCTTAAGGTATAAATACATTTTCTAAAATATAAATTAGAATATAAAACGAAATACAAAAAAGTAAAATAATATTAAAAAAGTAAGGTTACGCCGTTTATAAAATAAAATTAGATTATAACAAATAACAAAAAATTAGATTATAAAAATATATAATAAAATTAAGAAATTAGAATAACGCAACATTCTCCCTCTTCTGATAATTTCATCGGAGAAGACACGAGTTTGTTGTCCAAGTGGTTAATCATTTTGGTAATCAAGTTGTATCATAAATCATCATAACGTTGGCTTGTCCCAATCGTTGGTTTGATCAATTCGATTTTGCACGTTGGTTTGTTTAATCACAAGCTTGATATCCATATAATTGTCCCCATTAATCATAGCTTGTTTGATAGTACTCAATTGTTAATTATCATTTTTCCAGTTGAATATTGGAATTTGGAATAAATCAGAATATGTAATTTGGAATAGTTGATCAAATCAAATATATGAATAATATGCACGAATAACATTTTGAATTTCGGAACAATAAAATATGTAATAATATGTAATAAGGAATGATAATTTAAGGAATAAGGAATAAAATCCAAAATAAGGAATGATAAATGATTATTATATTATTTTTTTAGGTGTTAAGTTAATCATAGCGTTTTATACTTTTAGCGTTTTACATTTTTTACGTTTTACATTTTTTAGCGTTTCAATATTTAATTACTAGCGTTTTAATATTTAATTTATTTTTATTTATTTTCAATCTCCGAGGTTAAAATATGCAAATATTATGCACATTTCCCTCTCTTAAAAAAAAAATTTAAATTTCACACAATATTTTTTTTTTAAAATAATGATATTTAATTTTTATATTGTCTTCAAAAGCTTTATTTCCAAAAACATTTTTATCATATTAAGTATTATTTATAAGGGTTATTTAAATCAATCCCTTTTAATTCATATGTTTTAATTACATTTTAATATATTTAAAATTAAGTTTTATCTTCTTGTTTAGGATTTTTAATGGTTATTTTTAATTATATCTAAGAATTCATCTTTAGGTTTTGTTAATTAACAACAATTCGTCATCATTCAAGAAATCAAAAAATATCAATATTATCCATTATGATTTTACATTTTAGTAATTTTAAAAATTTATAACATGCCTTTATCCTGGCATAAAATTTTAATTTTTAATAACTTTTCTTCTTACGTGGATTAGAATAATAAGTAATCATCATTGGTCTCACAAAATAGAATTCATAACCTAACGTCCAACTTTCATATTGGTTCTTTCTAGGTTGCCACCTTAGGTTAGGTGCTGGCTATCATATTCCAGTCCAACATCCAGAGCCGGGACACCATAAAGAAAGAAGCTTTTTGCATGAAAGAACGTACTAAGGTTTGATTCTTGGTCATCACAGTAGATTAGGTAGTCACAATAGATAAGGTAGTCATAATAGGTAGTCATCTCCATAGGTTAAGCAGTCTCCATAGGTTAGATAGTCATCTCAGTATAGTCACAATAGATAAGGTAGTCATAATAGGTAGTCATCTCCATAGGTTAAGCACAAGGTAGAGTCATAATAGGTAGTCATCTCCATAGGTTAAGCAATCAACACAATAGGTAGTCATATAAATAGAGTCATCTCAATGGATTAAGCAATCATCACAGATTAGATGGTCATCTCAGCAGATTAGGTAGTCATCTTTTTCTAGTCCACCACCCAAAGGGCACCATGCAAAGAATAAGGATGGAGACGATATGGCGCGAGGTTCGAGTCAGTAAAAATATATTTTATTAACTAACTTCTTTTTCTTTTCTTAAGGTATAAATACATTTTCTAAAATATAAATTAGAATATAAAACGAAATACAAAAAAGTAAAATAATATTAAAAAAGTAAGGTTACGCCGTTTATAAAATAAAATTAGATTATAACAAATAACAAAAAATTAGATTATAAAAATATATAATAAAATTAAGAAATTAGAATAACGCAACACCTTAATAATTCAAATATCTTTTGTTTCATAAAAATGTCAATCTGAATAACTGATTATTGATTATATTTTTTAGAAATTTTTTCTATATAAACAATTATATCATCTTTTTCACATAATAATTTTTAAATTCAATTGTATTTTAACTTAACTTTTTATGTTTAAACTGAATAAAATTTCTATGTATACAAATTAAATAAAATGCAACTTTATATGAATATTGAATGGTGGCAATATTTAAATAGATTCACATAATTTTTAAAAGATATTATAGTATTAAACTCAAATTATAAATTTTTTTTTAGTCGAGCTCAGGTCGGGTTAGATCTAAAAAGGTTTGGTCATCTTGGGCCTGGACCGCGAAAAAATTACTTTGTAGACCTCTAACCTGAACCCTAAATTCAAAAAATGGTTCAGGGCTCTGGTTTAGTAATATATGGTTCGAGTTCACAGTCGACTTTGACATTAAAAAAAATATATGTAAATATTTATCTGAAATGTAAATTCTTTTAAAATGATTTTAATTCTTTTCTTCATATCCATTTTACAAAACATTTAAAATATTTTATAAAATTCGCAACGATATTTCTACTAATAATAGATAAATTGCAGGATTAGTGAAAATAATGAGGTGTTATTATTCATTAAGATTAGTATTCCTTTTGATCATATAAAATAAACATCCTTTTTGTTTAAATATATTGGATAATTCATATTTTTATATTTTAACGAAAACTAATATTTTAAATGAGAAAAAAGGAGTAAATTTAACATTTTAAAAATTATAATCTATTATTTACATGGTTGTTAAGGATCGATAAAAAATGTGGAATCGGTATCGAGATACACTTTCATATAAAGTATTTATATTTGGATACTATTTTAGAGGTATCAGTATCTATTTTTAGATACATTTTAGATTCAATTTTATTTTACATTTAATAATATTTCTGTCTCTTTACAAAAACCAGACAAATTTTATTTTACGCAATGGATGATGGCGACAACATTGTAAATTTTATATTATAATTTATTTTATTTATATTAATTTAAAAATTGATGATAATTTTTAGATCAATATTTCTAGACATTCTCTGAAAAGAAATCAAAATTTAATATTCGATTTTTTAGGCACCTCTTTGACGGTAGGTATAAATATGGATATAAGTTTTGATACTCATTAAATTTTAAATAATTTTTTTAAAAATGATAGTCTAGATTTTAATATATTAATGTATAAACTATACTACTTTGATGTCAAATGCCTCGGTAGAAGGAGTTTAATATGGCTGAAATGTTTAATTACAAAAATTTTGAGAATGCTATATCATTAAAATATAACTGTTATTTATAATCATTTAATTATATTCTATACATGAATTATTAAATTCTAAAAATCATTATTTTAATTATATATTTGTATATAGATTTTAACAATCTTAAATTTAGTAACATTATGCATATTTTACATTAGTATAATAAAAAATTTATCTGGATCTAGATACATTTGTAAAATCAAATCTGTATATAGATACATTTCGAAAGTACCTTTTAATCACTCTGATAATTTATATAGTTTAATAACTTTGAATTGGAAGGAAATTTTTTTATTTTATTTGTTAAATCATAATTTTATTTTTATTTGATTATCTATTAGTCGGACATGGACACTCTGTGGTACACCAGAATATTTAGCACCAGAAATTATTCAAAGTAAAGGGCATAACAAAGGTGTTGACTGGTGGGCTCTTGGAATTCTTATATATGAGATGATTATAGGGTAAAATATTAAATATTACTATTATGGATAAAAATCATTATAATCTTACATTTCATGCTTATAGATATTTAACTCAGAGATGGGCAATAGCGCTATTACTTGTAATTAAGATAAAAGATCCTCTTGCATCTTATTTATTTTATATTTTTTACATTTTTAATTAGATACTTATATCTGCTTATTTTCAATTATATCATTAATTTATTTCGCTGACATGATATGATTTCCTCCATTACACAATGAGTTATGAATAATGGACAATTTAACATAAAAATGGCTGTTGCAAATTCAATATCTAGTTTACTTTGTTCATTCATTAAATTGTTTTGTTTTTTTTGGAATATAATGTTTAAATTAAAATTAGAAGAGGATGTAGGTTATTTGTTGGGGTTATGATTTGAACTCATATTATTGTCAATTATATTATTAATGGTAGCTAACCAGCCAGGAACGACGAGCGAACCAGAAATTTCTCCTTCGTTTGATGCAATCAGATATGCCTTTTGCCTAAAAAATTTACCTCTTTATTTGTAAAATATTGTTAGATGAGAGTTTTAAGGCACATATATTGTTGGTATGACTAAATACTGCATTGCTAAAAAGCAATTAATCATAATCAATCAAAATTTTTTTATTTAATCTTTATTTAAAAATAATTTCATAAACATATTTTTAAATATACTTAATAGTGCGCACAAATTGACCGTTTGCATTTGCAGTACGTTTTTTAACGCAACGCATCTTTGTTTAAATTGAAAGCAGTACGTTTTTTCCTTGTTTTAAAATTGAAACGTGATTTAATTTTTATTAAACAATATGGATTTCTTTAGTTTACAAGATAAACAACTAATTGCTTATTTTAATTATACAAGGATGAGGAGAACATATATTTATAATTTACAAATAATGCAAATAAAATAATTTAATTATATTTTCAATTCTTCAATAATAAAAATGTACACTAGAACATATAAGAGTATTAAATATCTTATTAAAATAATATAATCATATCATCTGTATGAGAGTTTGAAGCCAGAAGCTTTGCCCAATTTTATTTAATTGGTCTTTGAATTTTTTTATTATAATCAGATAAGGTGATGTCAAAATAAAATATTGTTACCTCAATAAAACATAGTAAGTTTTCTATATAAATAGTCAATATCTTAAAAAATCAAACACTATTATTCTTTTTACACACATAATATTTAATATAAGGTGATGTCAAAATAAAATATTGTTACCTCAATAAAACATAGTAAGTTTTCTATATAAATAGTCAATATATTAAAAATTCAAACACTATTATTCTTTTTACACACATAATATTTAATTTATAAAGATAATATTGGCTAAATTATATGTCAATGAATTTAAATCCTTAGAAAGGCTTCAAATTTTGATCTCAATTAATTTTGTCAAAATTTAAAATATATATACACTATTAAATCTTAAATGTACCATTCTCTCAATCATGTTACCCCTGATATTTTTACTTATTGGATTTTCATAACTGTTTACTCAATCTCATTCTTTCATAATTTGATTATTATAATATTTATTTGTTTATAATATATTTATAATAATCTTTATATTTTAATAAAAATGCTAAATAAATTTTGAATAGTTAGCTTATTTATATATATTTTTCAAAAATGGACACTATAATATGGAATATTACTTTACAGACGCGTACGCAGGAATTTGGTCTGGGGGGGGGGGGATATAAATTTTTTTGAGAAATATTATTGTTTTTTAAAAATATCAAGCATAAATTTATTAGGACTAATAACTATTCCTAATACACAATTTTAAATTAATGTGAATTATAAAAAAATTATATGTAAACACTTAAATGACCCAAAATAGAAATTTGAATTTTTTGAGCCTTTACACAAAAAGTTTCTTAGGAATAATTGTATTTTGTCTGTTATATATTTATAATGTAAAATCCAATCTTCGTTGGAATTGAGCTAATTTTTCAATTATCTCATCCTTGCTTGTCGTCAAATGCCTATGAAGATTCAAAAGATCCAAACCTTTCAATCTACTTTCACATGTTGTACTTCTTGGTATGTTTTTCAGAGACCTGCAAGCACGACCCCTGGGCCGGACAGTATTTTAATTTTTTTAAATATACCCGGGCCGGGCCCGAAATTTTTTTAAAAAAACACCCAAGCCGGGTTGTATTTTTTAAAACAGCCTATATTTGAAATCGTTATTATTAGCTATAAAAATAAAAAATAAATATAATTTATTTTAAAAAAATCTGGGCCGGGCCTGAAAATTTTATTTTTAAAAAAGCCGGACTGAGCCTGTAAATTTAAAAAAAAAGCCGAGCGACCTAAAAATTTTTTTAAATAAAGCCGGGCCAGGCCTGAAAATTTTAAAAAAAAACCCAGGTCGGGCCGTAAAAAATCTTTAAAAAAAATCCGGGCCGTGCCCTGCAAATGGTACTTCTGCAGGCCTCTGTTATTCTTCTTAAAAAAGAGAGTGTTCTCTCATTAGTTTACTAATGGAAAGAGTTTATAAACCCTTTTAATACATTGAGAATTTAATCTAAAATGTGTTTGAAATAATGCAGAGCATCCATAGCATTTTTTGGGACTATATCAACTATAGTTAATCTTATAAACATAGTTATTCAGCTAGTAAGGCATCATAAGATACTTTAACATCTTCATAATAAAAATCTAACAAATATTTTTTTTCTATCACCATCTGAAAAAGGTTAGGAAGGCTTTTGTGGAAGTAATATTTGCAGATGTAAGTGCTGCATGATATATTAAAAATTTATTTATTTGGGTTATAAATGTATCTGCATCTAAGATATACTCTTCTACTGATCCTATATTAATGTTTTAACGATGAGCTTGCCTTGCTACAAGTCGAGGGAGACAAATATTAAACACGTATAGCTCTGCTTTTGACTCAACAATAAAATATGAAATTCTTCATCAACATTAGCCCTAATTTCCTTGAGTTCTGATAAAATGCTCTCCGCTATTCTTATCTTCTTAATCAAATCAATGTCATGTTTTTGAAAAGTAATACTTAAAATAGTTGTATAATTAAATAATACATTCTAATGAGAAATAAAATTTGGAATAAGCATTGAATCCAATAATTTTCTTGCTTCTGAGGAAATATTTCTTTCAGGCCATTGTGATATTTCAGTAATAGCAAATAATTGGCTCTTCTAACTCCTTAATAACTGTTAGAGCTTGATGGAAGAGGCTCTATCTCGTTGGACAAGGTTGTTTTTTCTTTTTCCCTGTTGGACAAGAAGTTTCAGAAATAATTATTATTTGACTAGAAATTTGAAAATGGTAGATAAATATTACGCCACTAAAAATTTGAAAATAATAAGTAAATATTACTCCGGAAAACTTGAAATCAAAATTAATTGATAAAATAACTTATGAATATGATAATAAATGTAATAAAATATATATTTAATATGGGATACGAATAAATATTAACAAATATAAATTAATATTAACAATAATATTTTTGAAAAATATATCCGACATCTGCATTTTTTGGCTTTGGGGGGGGGATAAAGTTTTCTATAATTTCATTATCCAGAATATTTTGGCGCTTTAGGTCAAAAAATCCAACTACATCAAGTGATGTTGGTTTTGAGCAAGATTCATTCGTCTGGGATTCACTTTGAGGTATTAAGGTATTTATTAAATTTAAAATTTCCTCCTTTTTTGCTTTATTCCTTTCTTGCCTAATCCAAGGCCAGACAGTTTTAAATAAAGGGTGAAGAATTGCAGCAATGATGTTGTCATTATCATAAAGATTATTAAACCTATAACATGTTATTAATTTATAAATAATTATTTGATTTTAGTTACCTTTTTTCAATACTAGCTAATATAGTATCCTTTAGAGGTTGACAATATTTTAATCCCTGCACATCTGCCATACATATAAGTATTTGTGTTATTGTTGGGAACAATCAGACATTTTCACAAAATTAAATTTAATTTAAAATTAATTTTTCACAACATATTAAAAATAAAATTAATTATTTGAATATATCTTTAAAAGTAACTAGTTACTTTTGGCAGTTACATTTCAAAAATTTTAACTAGTTACAGTTACTAGTTACAATTTTAAAAATATAACTAGTTACAGTAGTAACTAGTTACCTTAACATCACTAATTATTACTGTATCATTTAAAAATTGAGTAACATAAAAATTAGATTAGCTTTAATTTTATAGATACCCACCATTTTATGATACGACTTCATATGGGATCTATGAAAAAATTATGATTGGAAAAATTGATTGGCAAAAAAATGTTGATTTGGTTGCCAAGTATTATTCCATATATTTTATTTTAATTATCATCTTTAATAGAGATCTAATTAAAAAATTATTAGTGCATGATCGAACTAAAAGACTTGGAAATATGAAAGTATATTTACATTCATTATTTAATATATAATTTAAAAAGAATGGGGCCAACGATGTAAAATTACACAAATGGTTTAAAGGTATTGATTGGATTGATGTTTTTTCAAAAAAAATTGAAGTAAATAAAAATATATAATTATGATTTATTAAATATAAAGCCTCCCATTATACCCATGGTTTCATTTAATGGTGATTGTCAAAATTTCGAAGAATATATTGACGATGAATCCTTTTTTAAAGAAGCACCCAATGTTTCAAATGATCAAAGAAATCTTTTTAAAGATTTTTAGTAAAGAATTTTTTAAAAAAGCGTTTGATTCCACTGATATCTAAATATGTTTTATTTTTTACTAGATGGATAAATTCGACCAAGGCTACTTTTATATTTTATTAATAGTGCAATATTTGTTTTCATTTTATTTTTATTTATTTTAAAGTTGAGAATGAATAATATATTAAATTCCTAATATATAATATAAAATGATACAATTTGTAATTTATATTTAATAAATTATTTTTTTGCAAGTCTTTTAAAAATTAGCAAATTTATTATTTATTCCTTACTCTCCCAATTTTTTAAATTTTGGGATAAATCAAAGAAGAAAGAGTTTTCTATCATAGTATAGTTTGTTAACTTTCTATTGATTTGAGCTGTAAATTAGCGGGTGTGAGCTATTTTAGCAAAATGGGTTGTGGGACTTAAAAATTTTATCATGGATTCTGATTTTTTTAAAAAATTCGTGATTTCTGGAGACTTGCTGCGATAATTACGAATGTTTTAAAAATTTTATAAATAAGCTCTTCTTAATTATTCCTATGCAGGGTTGCCATGTCTCCCCCCATCAGCGGGAGACTCCCGCAATTTTTTAGTTTACACGCAGACATCTTTCCCGCAAAACTACCGCATTTGGAAATCTCCCGCAAAAATCTACTGCAATTTTTTACAATTTTTTTAAAAGTATTTTAACGTTTTTAATATATATAAATAATGATTTTGAGAGACATTAATTGATTATTTTTATATTTTTAAAATAAATTTTAAATATTTATTCGAGAAACATGTCTAGTTTGTAAATTTCTTTCTATCCTGTTTTATTTTTATCCAATAATAAATCAACATCATTTCATTCATATAAGTCAGTACAGGGGAGTATATCAACATCGATTGCAATACAAAAATATTCTCAAAAATAATAATTAATACAGATACAACTACAGTTGCGGAAATCGTATACATCTATCAAGTAGTTCAACATTCACAAGCTATATCATCACAATGTGGGTCGAATATTTTTCTCATGATATTTAACGACCCCAATATGAGTACAAATTTTACTTGTGGTAGAACAAAAATGAGCAAGGCTATCACAAGTGTTTTAGTACCTGAATCCTAGAGGTCAACTCTAGATGATTTGAAAGATCGGCATCCATATGCAATTCTAACAGATGCATCTAAAGGGAAATAGATCCTTCGCTATTTCAGCAAAAATAAGAACATTTCAATAAAACTGTTAAAATTTGTTCCTCGGATAGTGAAAAATCCAACGATGTAGCTAGCCACATAATGGTAAATATAGCTGATTCAGGGTTATCATGATTTGCATGTCCGCTTTTTGCGCTGATAATGCCTCTAAAAATTGGCTAAAACCAAAGTTATTGAATTGAGGCAGCACAAGAATGAATTAATACCAATTGGCTATATATGCCAACATAATTCTTGCAAGAAGGCAATGTCGAAATAATTGTTATGAAATGTTTTAACGAATTTAGTTAATCAACTAAAAGAGTTAATGAATTAAAAGAGTTGGTGAAGTGGTCTGACTTGGAATGGTGTGAGTTGTTGCGATATATACCTATCAGGTTGTTGTCATTAATACCTGCCATTGATAGAATTTTAAAATTTTACAAACCCTTAAAAAAATACTTTTTAAATAAAGATTCTAAAAGCTGTCCTAAAATTTTGAAAAATTTTTTCGAGTATGAAATGGCAGCATATTTGGGATTCTTTTCACATGTAGGAAATCTACTTCATCCAGTTAATATTCAGTTGCAACCAGAATATTCTTTATTAAAAAAAATTCACAAATCATGCTTCACCTCTGTTCATCTCTACAGTTAAAAATTGATAATTAATTTTATGGCGCTATTGCTAAAAATATTATATTAAAATGTTCAAATATACTCTAATTAATACATTTTTAATTGAAGCAGATATTTTTATTAAGACAATTTTTGAATATTTACAATCAAAGTTTGATTTTAATAACTCTAATTACAAATGTATTAATATTATGACCTTGGAACAGAAACCATCAATTGATGGTTTTTATAATTTAATTATATTAAAAATACCGAAAGACATTGATGCCTTGTTTGAGAAGATTGTAATTCTCTTTATTTTTTATGATTCGCCAAAATACTTAAAGTTAGATGGTCTAAAAGCAGAGGATAGAATTTTTTCGTAATAACGATAAATCCCGATGCTTGGAAAAAATATGCGAGTATGTCTTCTCCTTACCTCATTCTAATACCTCACCCGAGCGCATTTTTAGCCTGATTAGGACTGCCTGGAAAAAGGAGAGAAATCGAATAGCTTTAACAACATTAAATGCCGAGCTAATGGTTAAACAAATATATAATATGTCATCCCAGGAATTTTATAAATATCACAATAACGACGGTAAACATTTAGTTCTATTATTTAAATCTCAAATAAAATATAATTAAGTTTTAGCAATGGCGCCATAAAATTTATTTTCAATTTTTAACTATAAAGATGAACACATCTGCAGCATAATTTTGTGAATCTTTGTTAAGATTCTTCTGATTACAACCACACATTAACAGCATGTAGTAGATTTCCTACATGTGAAATCATTCCTAAATATATCCCTGCCATTCATTATTGGAAAATTTTTTTAAATGTTAGGACAGCTTTTATAATCTTTATTTAAGAAATATTTTTTTAAATGCTTATAAAATTTTAAAATTCAATATCGCAACCAACATTGTGCTGACTCAATTCTGTAAATACACTCTGTTTTTACCAAATTCACTGAGGCAATATCAGATCAGAAAGCTGACATGCAATTTATTGATAATCTCGAATATATTTACCATTATATGGTTAGCGATGTCTTTGGATTTTTCACTATTTGAAGAGAAAAAATTTAATAGTTTTATTGAAACAACCTTAATTTTGTTGAAATAGCGGAAATATTTCCCTTAATAGATGCATCTGTTAGAATTGCATATGTATGCCCATCTTTCAAATAGTCAAGAATTGACCTCCTGGATTTAGGTCCTAAAACATTGATGATAGCCTTGCTCAGTTTTGTTTTACAAGTATAGATTTCATTTATATTAGAGTCGTTAAATATTATGGGAAAAAGATTCCACCAACATTGTGATGATAATCTCTGTGAATGTTGTACTACAAGATAAGTGATTAAAATTGCCGCAACTGTAGTTGCATCTGTATTATTTCTTATTTTTGGAGTACCGAATTATGTATTTAAACGTGATACGTGATAATTAAGCGCTTATTCCTATTATATTATATATATACACACACACGGTAGATTTCCAAGCGATCGTTTTGCGAGGAGATGTTCACATAAAATATATTTTTAATTGTAAAATTAAATTCGTTAACTATAAAAAATTTATGGGGTTACCATAATGGGGTTACATCTTTTCACAGGGCAAATCTCTTTAAACCTCTCCTCTCCAGAAAACAAATTAAAGCTCAGTCGCAAGATGATTTGTTGCTATTTGATCAAATACTTGTCAGAAATAAAGATAATTTTCTAAACATGTCCTCGAATGGAAGTATTGATGAATGCTGTAACCTTTTCAAAAAAGATATTACAGATTCTTATAATAGGCTACCTAATATAAATATTTATTCAAGAAATGAATGGTTAACAAATGAAACAATAACAAAAATTAGTCAGCTCAGAGAAGGTAACAATCTGAATAAAGAATTGTGGAAAGATGTACAAAAATTGTTGAGGAGCGATAGAAGGAGATACATTACAAAAATAGCCTTTTAAAATTGATAAGGATATGAAAGAAAAATAGAATTTATAATGCTTATAAAAAATTAAAATATTTTTGTAAACCGTACAGCTTTAAGAAACTTCCCTAATTAGTTTTAGCAAATGGAAAGCAAATCTTTGACCAAGAAGAACAAATAGCACTATGGCTTGACTATTATATGATGGTCTTCGACTCAAGAAGAACTATCTATCGAACTAACATTAATGAGCACTTAGTTCCACCCCCGTTGGGTTTCTCCACGGATGAAATTGTAAAAATAATTAAAAAATTGCGTAATAATAAAGCTCCCGGACTTGATAAAATAACAGCTGAACATCTCAAAATTGCTCCTAGAACTATATCCTCCTTTTTATTATCTCTTTTTAATAAAATATGGGAAACCGGAAAAACCCCTGCAGAATGGAATATTTCTTATGTAATTTTCCTAAAATAAATGACCCAATAAAATTTAATGACTATCGTGCTGTTGCTTTTACTTCTACTGTATCTAAGATTTTTATGGTCCTGTTTAAAAACAGGATGATGTCATCTATATCAAACTTATTCCCTAAATATATTTGTGCTTAGCTTATAGACCAAATAAAAATATTCTAGAACCTATTCTAGCTTTAAAAATAATGATACAGAAATGTTGGAAATATAAAATTCCATCTTTCTTCACTTTCTTATATTTTAGCAGAGCTTTTGATAGCGTAAATCATGATGCCCTGTGGAGAACACTTTTGGAATGCTGGAATGAATCTAATGTTATCTACATTCTAAAGAATCACTATTCTAATTTATTCGCTTGTTTTAAAATAAAGAATAAAGTATCCCCCTCTTTCAGAATTAAAAAAGGTGTAAAACAAGGATGCACACTTTCACCTTTCTTGTTAATATCATAATGTATAAAATAATAAAAGAAGCCCTGGGAGCTGCAAATCTATTAGATATAGGTTCAAATGTTACAATAAGTATGGAAAATCGAATAATATCTTATGCTGATGATATATCCATTGTGTCTACAAGTGTTGAAGAAACAAAAAATATGTTACACTTATTAGAAACATTAAGTTTGAGATTGGGTCTAAAAATAAACTTTAATAAAACTTTTATTCTTCCTTCCCCAAATGCAACTCAAAATTTAAATTTTACAATTGGAGGAAATGCAATTAAGATTGTAGATAAAATAAAATATTTAGGAGTTATGCTTGACAATAAAGGATGCTGTAAAGAAGAATTGAAAATTAGAATACAAAAAGCGAGAGGGGTTATAAATATATGAAAATATGGAAAACGAAAGAGATTTCTGTACACACCAGACTAAGAATTTTCAATTCTACTATAATTCCTATATTATTATTTGGTCGAGATTTATGGGAAATAAATAAAACAAAAAAT